TAGCTATATGAAATTTATAAATTCAACTGTCTATTTCTTTGGTCTATAAGTATTTTAAACTCATATTCACACACATGCATACCTACGTATTTATCAATCTATATATATATATGTGTGTGTGTGCATACGTTCATGAGCGTAAGTTATAGGCAGTCGCGCATACTATTGCATATATTAATATGAGTGTGATGGTCCACTGTGTGTGTGTATGTATGCATACGTCCATACGCATAACTACAGGCAGTCGTACATACTATAGCATCTCTTAGTATGAGTGTGATAGTCTGCCTGCTCATTTATCGTACATGTCACATACATGCATACGTTTATTCATGGGAAGCTCGTGCGAGCATCCGCGGCTTCTTATACCAAGCGCGTGTTCTTGTACATGCATATGGTGTCATATGTTGTCATATGGTATCATATGGCATACCCCTTGTACACGGGTGTACGTTCTCATCTCCGTATGCCTCACGCAAATACACTACTATGTTCTCAGGCGCCAAAACCCCACTTCCAAATATGACACTTACCTACACAGGCGGCGAGCGACAACGGCACCGAAGCCCTAAAAGGGGACCAGGACAGTCTGGACGTGGAAGCCCCAAGCAAACCACAAGGTATTGCACCCCATTCTGTCCCAGTGTGGTGCTCATAGGTTTTTGATACAGTTATATATCTGGGCGAATAAACGCCCACACGCAGTTGGGTGTCAGTGTTTCTGGGCTGGCTTGTGTGGAGTATTGCTATTGGTAGATTATTGAACCCATTGCCTGGTAACTATGGTGGCTTCGGCGTGTTGATATAAAGCATTGATACTCTGATAAGCAGTTATATATATATATGTATATATATATATTGCCATATCTATTTACACAATTAACCTATCGTCTATGTTTTATCTCTGTTAGCTTCAGCTTCTGAGGATGACCGTGATACGTACGAGAGCTGCGGTGGCACCAGCGACGACAGTCTCACAGGCAACGCACAAAAGAAGAAGCGCAAAAAGAAAAGCAAGCTAGGGCTTGATGGCACGGTCACGGGTGGGTCAGTCGTTGTTAGTACACACTGTATATACATACATACATATATATATATATATATACTATACGATTCACACTCTACAACCACAAGACGTACACCACTCACACTGACGTATTAACACACACCGAATGGTCTGCGTGTACTGGAATGAATCAGAATCAATATGGACTATGCTACTATATGCACTGTGCTATTATAGGCACTATGCTAATATATGCACTATGCTACTATATGGACTGTGCTACTATATGCACTGTGCTACTATATGCACTATGCTACTATATGGACTGTGCTACTATATGCACTATGCTACTATATGCACTGTGCTACTATATGCACTGTGCTACTATATGCACTATGCTACTATATGCACTGTGCTACTATCCAAGCGAATCTGCCGTTCCTGAGTCAAGCAGTTACACTACCAATGCATACGTGTACTGTACTACATTCCAACATGCCAAGCGGTACTATTCAACCGAATTTTCAGTGTCGAAGTCCAACTAGATATACTACCAATTTCGGATTTAGGGATTGGAAAGTCTCCACAGATTGACGCAATTGCGCTACTCAATCCTCTTTTTCTTCAGAACCCGAAGAGGACATTGTCCCGATTTCGGGATCAGAGCCCCAAACACCGGACACCGCAGGCGATGCCAATTCCAAACAGAATGGAGATACGTCAAAAATCGCACGCGACACCAACGCTGAATTAAGCGCCAAGAAAAGCGGGACGGATACCGGTACCACAGACGGCGCGGACGGGGAGAAGGAGCGCAAACACCGCCACCATCGCACACACACGTACTCGCGCGAAACATCTCATAATGCAGACGCAGCAGAGACTAACCAGTTTGTGGATGAGGACGATAAGGCTCGCGCGAAGAGAGAGCGTAAGGAAGCCAGAAAGGCCCTCAAGGTGTGTGTTCCGGATGGTTTGGATGGTTAGTGTGTGTGTAGACAGAGTTGTTTGGATAGGTTAGTGTGTGTGTGAACAGAGTTGTTTGGATAGGTTAGTATGTGTATGAACAGAGTTGTTGGGATAGGTTAGTATGTGTATAAACAGTTGTTTGGATAGGTTAGTACGTGTTTAAACAGAACTGCTTGGATAGGTTAGTACGTGTATAAACAGAATTGCTTGGATAGGTTAATATGTGTATAAACAGACTTGCTTGGATAGGTTAGTATGTTTATAAACAGATTTTCTTGGATAGGTTAGTATGTGTATAAACAGAATTGCTTGGATAGGTTAGTATGTGTATAAACAGAATTGTTTAGATAGGTGAGTATGTATGTGTCGAACAGAATTGTATAGACAGGTTGCTATGGGTATAATATGTCTGGGTGTAAGGATGATTGTATAGATAGGCTACTATGGGTATAATATGTCTGGGTGTATGGATGATAGTTAAGGTAGGCTACTATGGGTATAATATGTACGGATGTTTGTGTGCACGCGTGTGTGTGTGTGTGTGTTATGTGGGTTTTCCGTTTCGGCATACCGCTGTGTGTATAGGATTGTTGCTCACGGCCTGCTTCGTATCACGAGTGAAAGAGAGAAAAGGCTTTTTCAAAAATCAAAAATACAAAAAAGGCGATAAGGAATACGATCAATGCGAGCGCACGAAAGCGGAAAAGGCACTCATATACCTATAAGTTGTATATATATATATATATGCGTGTGTCTGTGTCTGTGCGTGTGTTTATTTGACTGTAACCCTAGGTCCTATGCCCCGTCATACAACTTTTGTATAACTACAGGGACACTTGTCCTGCATTCACTGTACATCTTTGGTGTATCGTAGGAATGACTTCGGAAGATCCGGTATTTCTCGTGAATTCGGCTTACACTACAAGGAACCCTATAGCCTATGTTCATTTTACGTCCTGATTATATTGTAGGTATTACTGTTCTATGTACATCACACACCTTGTCTATGTATTTACAATACAACAACAACTGTCTTGTATACATCACTGTGTTATACACATCACACACCTTGTCTATGTATTTACAATACAACAACAACTGTCTTGTATACATCACACACCTTGTCTATATTCCTCACAATACAACAACTGTCTTGTTACATCACTGTGTTATATACATCACACACCTTGTCTATATACCTCACAATACAACAACAACTGTATCTATAGAGTCTTATATACATCACACATCTTGTCTATATACATCACACACCTTGTCTATATACTTCAGGAACAACTCAGGAAGGAACGGAAGGTGGAGAAGGAGATAGAAGAAGCAGCCAGATTAAAACGTGAAGCCGAAGAACGCGCACGCATAGAAGCCCAACGCATAGCCGAAGAGAAACGACGCAAGCTAGAGCACCATCAGAAGATGAAGGCCGCCAAGCTGGTATGTGGTTGTATTTGTATTTATTTATATATATATGTGTGTGTGAGTGTGTGTGTGTGTATCTTCAGCATCCCTTTATTTCCTATTGTAGACCCGAGAGAGAAACTAGCGACAAATATCTGGAACGAATGCGGACTAGATCGAATATGATCATTCATACATGTTCACCCGTACACATTCTTTCCCAGACTATCAATACGCATTATGTATATATATCCGTTCACACGTACTCCTTAACAGGCCAAGAGAGACGCCCACGTGAAGTACCTGGAACGGATGCTGACTGAATTACAGACCCGATTGGCGAACGCACGACTCGATTTGGAGCGAGTGCAAGATATTGACACGGATGACAGCCTGTCTGACACCTCCATTGACACTGACACTGACACCCCCTCGGACTCGGACTCAGACTCATATGGCTCATCTCGCAAGAAGAAAGTGTGTTTGTGAGGTTGTGATCAGATAGTATATATCTGGGTATATACATTGTGTGTGTGGATGTATATGTGTGTGTATGTATGTATATATGTATATATATATATATATGTATGTACGTAAATATATATGTGTATATATATATATATATAAAATATATACGTATGTATGCGCGTGTATGTGTGTGTGTCACCATGTATTGATATATATGTATCTATATATATATATATGTGTGTGTGTGTATGTATATGTGTATCTATGTGTCTATTTATCTATGTATGTATATATATATGTGTGTGTGTGTGTATAATATATATGTGTGTATCTATGTATCTATTTATCTATGTATGTATATATATATATGTGTGTGTGTGTATAATATATATGTGTGTATATGAATGTATTTATACGTGTAGATATATATATATGTGTGTGTGTGTGTTTGTATTTATATGTGAATGTCCTTTTGTAAATCTATATGTATGTATATATATATTATGTGTATATGTATATGTATACGTGTATGGATGTTCATGTGTATTTGTGTATATACGTATACATTTAAATACTCATAGACATTTTACCTACAGCTATAGCTAACTATTCCTAATACGAATCACTCGTTGCTCTACTCTTAGTCGAGTGGTAAGCCAATGGGACATGTGAACGCACGAGGCCCTCCCATGCGAACGAGACCACCATCGGGTGCACGCCCCCTATCTGGCGGTCGAGGTATGTATGCGCGTACTTGTATAAATACATAGATACCTGAATATGTATATATTTATATAGATATTTATATATATATATATATACGTCTATAGATAGGCATCAAGGCATATGTATTTTAAGTAGCTGTGTGTGTGAGGATATATATGGTTCATAAACCGAACCGCATGACTAACCCGACCTTCGCTGGAGGGGCCTTCAACGTTAACAAGCCTGGGTGGCCTAGGCAAATATTCTGACTATGAGTGTGTCCGTTTATACAGCTATGTATACCATGACTATAAATATAGACGTTATTTATATCTGTCAAGTTCTAGGTTTAATATGACTGGCTAGAGTGGTAAGTGGGGCCACTGGGAATAAGCACCAGTGCTCCTATGAGAATATATCTCCATGTTCCATTCTAGAAAATAGTCTGGATTTGACCAATCAGAACCGTTTTATTCTAGTACATCTGGTTCTAGTGGGTATGCGCTTCCGTTGCTGTGCAGCTAGTCAGTTTGGGGACATGGCCGGGGACGAGGTGGTTATATATATCTATATATCTGTATATATATATTTATATTTATATATATATGTATATCAACATATTTCACGTACGAACCCCTCTGAATCTATCTCATACCGATTGACTACTTCATTTGTTTTGTGTGAGTACGTCATATGTTTCTTCTATACAATACTACCTATTACTATATATCATTCTCCTCAAACGTAGATCTCTGCCCAGTCCCGAAATGGGAAGGCCTATGACTCCACCATGGAATGTATGGATAGGGTCATCCTTGCATTTCATATGGCTGCTACCACTACCGTAGAATGTATGGATAGGGTCACCCATGCATTTCATATATGACTACTACCACTCCACCATATAATGTATGAATAGGGTCACCCATGTACTTCATATGACTTCTACCACTCCACCATATAATGTACGGCAAGGGTCCCCCATGCATCTCATATGACTACTACCACTCCACCATAGAATGCATGAAAAGGGTCACCCATGCAATACATAAAACTACTACCACTTCACCATAGAATGCATGAATAGGGTCACCCATGCATTCCATATGACTACTACCACTCCACCATAGAATCCATGAATAGTGTCGCCCATGCATTCCGTATGACTACTATCACTCCACCATAGAATGCATGAATAGGGTCACCCATGCATTTCATATGACTACTACCCTACCACGTGTGGCCATAGATGAGCACACATACGTGCTAGCATGCATCACTGCCACACCTCTTACACACACGCGCATAAAGAGTTCCCCAAACGCGCCCGTCCACACCCTCATTTAGGACCTATTTTGTCCTCATTTGTTTTGTCTCCGTTTTTGGTGTGCTTTAGGTATGCACTACGGACCTCACCCCAATAGAAATGGCCCAGTCCTGCGCGTTAATTCCAGAGGACAGCCTGTGCCTGGTACCGGTCCGCTTTCGAGAGAAGGTGCGTATGAGTCTCCTGTGTGAGTATGTACGTATTCGGATTGCACCCGAATTGTTGTCCTTTTTCGGGGGCTTTTGGGCCGACCCCAGGTCCTCTTTTTGTTGTTGACGTAGTGGCGGGAAACGCTGAAGCTCGCTTGACCCATATATGGTCCATTGATATTAAGTTCAACCCCATCCATTGTTCTATTTATAGAACTCTATAAGTAGAGCTACTCCTACTTTGTAATATTAATAGATGTTCAACCGGTGCATGGCGATCCTGCAAGAACCCCAGGCCCCCCATAGACCCACACATCTCCAATTACATGTGTCATTCTATAATTAGAAGAACCAACTCTTGTCCTGTTCTATAACTGAACTCGCTATTGTCAGTTTTAGGAATAATGGAACTACCCCTTGTCCCGTTCTATAAATATGACTAACTCTTGTCCCTTACCCCTGACCCGTTCTATAAATAGAACTAGCTCGTCCCGTTTTATAAATAGGACTAACTCTTGTCCCGTTCTATAAATAGGTTCAACCCAGCCCGCAGCGTACGGTGGGCCCGGCGGACCGCCAGGACCACCACACATGCAACGACCACACAGCAGAGGAAACTCAAACACACCGCAGAGAAACCACATAGGCGTTTCACCACAGGGACACCACCTGCCACCCGCAGCCAATGTACGCAGATGCATGTGTGTGTATCTATGTAGGTATCTATGTATGTGTATAGGTATGTATATATATATATGTGTGTGTGTGTATCTATGTATATGTGTATATATATATATATGTATGTATGTATGTGTGTGTGTATATCTATATATTTATGTATATATGTATATATTTATATATTTATACATGTATATATATATATATATATACATATATGTGTATGTATGTATATGTGAGATGTGCTTGTGGGGGTGCGGGGGGGTGCGCATTTCTTCATTTTCACTTGTTTGCTCACAATGTACCCATTAAAGCACCCATACAATCGGCCTGAGCTACCTACCAGATGCGCTTGTCTATATTTACTTGCAATAAAAACTCCAAATTGTATCTAAAAACAAATGAAATCTGGTCCTACACTTTCCTGATTTCTGGTCCTAATTGTCTGAGTGCTTTTCAAAACCCCAATCAGAGCCGAGCCCAGACACTATACTCCTCAACTGACCCACAATCATACGGTGTGGATGCCAAATCCCAATTAGAGGCCGATATGGATCAGTACAGGTACACTCATATGCTTACATCTGGGTGTGTTTGTTGTAAGTTTAAATACATTAGTATGTTTTAGGGTTTTATGAACCTAAAACCCTAACCCCCTAAAGCTGGTGATATAGACACTCATCTGCTTACATCTGGGTGTGTTTGTCGGGAGTGTAAGTACAATTGTATTTCTGGGTGACATATTCTATGCACGTGGCATGTTGATTTCTTAGCACGTTGGTTCTAACACGATGATATGGTCGTAGTTATTATGACTAAACCTACGACTATGCCTATGACTATAACTACAACTACATACACACACACCAATGCACTCACGAACACAAACGCAGAACAGAATGTAATGGGCCTAGTATCATAGCTATGCCTATGACTACAACTACATGCACACACACCAATACACTCCCAAACACAAACGCAGAACAGAATGCAATGGGCCTAGTACTATGACTATGCCTATGACTGTTTGCACCCACACTCCGTAGTAGAAGTTTTGCGTGTGTGCGGACACCAGTTTGATCCGATTCCATTAAATCGTTTTGTAGTTGTCGTTTTACTTCTCAGACGTACCCAACAAAATCATCCTAGCGCATCTATTAACTTATCAATCGGTGCTTCAACTCTATACTTTTATCCAATCATATCATCTTTTAATCATCGTCTACCAATTACATCCAACTATACATTTGTGCTCCTCCTTATACCCTCAATTACACCATCATCCGTCTCTCTAACATCCTTATAACTTCACGTACACCATCTTCGTCTATCTCCTGGCCTTTCGGTTACATCCGATTTAACCATCCGTATCCTTCCTCACACTCTCACCCACACCATCCTCCTTCTCTCTCTCGTCCTATCACTTATGAACAGTTCACCCACATCATCATCCTTCTCTCTCTCGTCCTATCACTTATTAACAGTTCACTTACACCATCCTCCTTCTCTCTCTCGTCCTGTCACGTAGACGTATCACTTATGAGAAGGCCAAAGGATCAGAACGCGTGGCAGCTGAGGACCTCGACGCATTCTCCACAGCCAATGAGGGCGGCAGACAAACACAAGTCACGCTACGCAAAACACCCGACGAGTCCCTTGGGTTCATGATTACAGAGGTGTGTGTAAGATTGTAACAATTATATGTGTGTGCAAGGAGATGTGTGTGTGTGGGAGGGAAGGCATATATGTATGTGTAAGGAGACGTGTGTGTGTGTGTGTGTGGGAGGGAAGGTATATATGTGTGTGTTTAAGGTGATGTGTGCTCTGCTCATGTACTGGTCTGTACTTGTCTGCTCACCCCTTGTTAATGCTAATATACCTCTCTGATTCATCCATTAATATATCTCTCTGATTCATTCATGAATGTATGATTCATCCATTAATATACCTCTCTGATTCATTCATTAATGTATGATTCATCCATTAATATACCTCTCTGATTCATCCATTGTTTGTGCACGCTATCCCAGACGAGTCGGTCGTCCTTGCTGCCGTGTGTCTTCGTGTCACACATCTATCCGGGAGGCGCCGCTTCTCGAAGTCACTTACTCCACGTGGGCGATACTATACTCGCAGTCAATGGGGTGGTAGGTAGAATCAATACGTTTATTGGGCTTCTTTACGTTTTCTGGTGTCATTTTTAAAAATTTTAGGATGTATATTATTTTGTTTTTATAACGTACATTATATCGATTATTTAATTTACTCTATATTGATTATGTACTGTATATTGTATTAATTATATAATATACATCATATTAGTTATATACTGTACATCATATTAGTTATATACTGTACATCATATTAGTTATATACTGTACACTATTTTATAATTCAATTATAAAATGTACAATACTCTAATTATAGAACATTGTTTTATTAGTACAATATACATAGCTACTTCTATAATGTACACTATTTTTTTCTCTATAGTTCACACTATCATATGATCTGTATACTGTACATTATATTGCCTACCTACCGTGCCTTGATGTTGACACATTGGTCATATGATACTGTTTGTATTCATTATATAATCCCCCCATTCGCTATTATATTGTCTATATACTGTTTGTATTTATTATATACTCCCCCCATTCGCTCTATTCAGTCACTGGTGGGTCTGCCCTTTAAAGAATCGCTGAAGCTCTTCAAGGACCTCAGGTGTGTTGTGCTTTTTATAGAAAAAAACTAGCGTGTACAGCCATACACACTGTGGTAAATGATATTGGGTACAAAATAAGAATCGGCGATAATATGCATTCTTGTGTATATTTGCAAATCTAGTGTGTCTTTTGGCTCTGTTTTGTGTGTATATGTTATATGGAATATTGCATATTATAATGTGTTTTGTGTATATTTGCAATCTAGAGTAGTGCCTCTTTTGGTCTGTTTTGTGTGCAGTTGTTATATGGAGTTGCATTTTTGGTCCTATTTTGTGATTTTTTTGTTTTTGTTTTTTTTATGTCGGGAATACTCTTGTCCGTTTTGTGCATATTTTAATTCTGGAATGGTGCATCTTTTGGGCCTATTTTGTGTGTATTTGTTGTCTGGAATATTGCTTATTTTGGGTCTGTTTTGTGCATAATTGTTTTCTGGAATGTACATAGTTTGGGTCTGTTTTGTGTATATTTCAGGAATTATCCGTTTCAACCCCGCGCCGCTGCCGTTGTGGACACCTCCAATTTAGTTTGCGGCATTCCCATTCGTGGTGTACCAAATTCTAAATGCGCGATTGGTTCTCCGCATTTATGACATTTGTCCGTAATATGCGACATACCGCGGTCTATTAATAGCACAACTGCAATGGACATTTCCCTTTCGTGGTATACCAAATTCTGAATGCGCGACTGGTTCTCCGCATTTACGACATTTGTCCGTGATATGCGACATACCGCGGTCTATTAATAGCACAACTGCAATGGACATTTCCCTTTCGTGGTATACCAAATTCTGAATGCGCGACTGGTTCTCCGCATTTACGACATTTGTCCGTAATATGCGACATATCGCGAGTCTATTAATAGCACAACTGCAATGTGCACTCTGGCCCTCTATATTCACAACAGTGTTGGAACTGAAATCAACTTGACTGTGGTACCGGTCGACCCGGCTGTGACTGTGACCATCGACAGACGAATGTCTCCCGCGGGAAAACTGGTATGTTTATGCATGTCCACTTATGTGTGTAAATAGGGGGTGAATGCGTACATGTGTATGTGTATATACGTACATGTGCATATGTACAAGGCGAGTATGTGTAGAGTAGTAAACGTATATATACCCGTGTCATGTCAAGAAGTATGATCACTCTACCGTATGTACCAACGACCTCATTGCCCGAGAGCATTTCTAATGTGCTTCTATGGATTTAAGTGCAACCATTACTTTACCCTGCTACAGGGATTGGGTGTTCTGCATGCTGACACACACATATATATATATATATATATATATACGTATATACTTACATACTCTGTGTCATACTCTGTGCTAATGAACCAGCCATTACTTTACCCTGCTACAGGGATTGGATGTACTTCATGCGGAGATTGTGGCCGTGGATAGAGGCGGTGCTGCGGAGATAGCTGGGGTCAAGGTAGGTATTGTGTATCGACGGGATAGGGTTTGACCTCAAACGTAATGCGAGCTGTTCATGTTATCTGTTTGTGATTGCAGAGTCTTGGTATTCGGCATTTTGAAGCACTCACTTTGTGTGCCATATATTATATATATATTATGCTATGAATCGCACACAGTGTGTGCGTAGTTCAAACTGTCTGTGTGTGACTACAGAGGATTTTTGTGTTAATAAGTGTCGTAGCTGGTTGACGGATTCTACCAGGTGGTGCGACTCCTATGGTTATGAACATAAATGGTTTTATAGATACGGGTGTAGGTATGGTCAAAACAATGCACACCATAAATGTTTGCGAACGAGTGTCGGTGAATAGGAGCTCGTACATTTTACATTATGAGATGTGTCTAATTATGTATGTACATACATCACATGTGTGCTCACGCACACGTCCTTAATTCTGCACACCCACTCACACTTTGATGACAAGTTTCTCGGCAAAGGCGCAGCGTATTTTGTATCCAACAGGCACACCGGTTATAAATGTATATATATGTATGTATGTATATATATATATGTATGCAAGCATGTACGTATGTATATATGTATATATATATATGTATATCTATATATGTATATATAT